ATAAATCTGCCCATAGGAATGAATTACAAAAATGTGCTGTATGTGCTGCTACTTATGTTTACATGCGTGTGCATAACAGGCATATTTTCCTGAATGCAAAACCTGCACTGTACAGCTGTTAGTAAAAGCATGATGCTTGCAGTCCTTCAGCTTGTAAACAACTGGTAGAGAGCTAGAACCAGAAGTGCCCTGCATAGGAATTTAAAATTGATTCCAGAAGATAAAGCAAACAACAACCCATTTTAAAAACTTTGCTCATTACTAATATATCACTAATCACTTACAAATAGCCTGAACACTAAGGTTGGATTAAAGCTGGCCATAGATGGATCGAGTCAACTATGGGCAGGCTGGCTATACTCAAGTTGATCCTGTCGGATCTTTTGCATGCGATTACTGCCGGCAGCTATAGCAGCCAGCAGTGATCTTTGTGTTCTGCCAGCAGGGACTGTAACTGTGTTGATAGGGGAAATGAGCAATTTTCTTTCCTTCAACCAATTACAGAAAAAAAAAAAAAAAAAAAAAAACCACAAAAATCACATCATCTATGGTTTGCCTTACCAGTGTTGTGTACATGCAGCATGCATGGTAATGCATACATGTAGGTGCGAATAAGCCCATAGAGTATCCCTTTGTCTTTCACACTTAACTGTAATGCTGAGATGTGAACCAGCCGTATAAGAAATAATGGGGCTTCTACCTGACATGCATTTTCATTAAAGCAAAAATCAAGGACAGATATGAACAGATCCTTGACGCAAAGAGTTCTCTGTAAATGAGAAAAGTTCAAAATCAATGATTTATGTTTTTACCAACTTTTCCCTTTAGGAAGGTAGACTTATAATAACCTCATACCCCCCCCCCCCCCCCCCACCAACTTCCTAAATCGAAACAAGTTTACATGGAAAAGAAAGACACTTTGATCCCCCATGTCATTTATTCAGCATAGTACTGGAGAGTATCACTTTCTACAATGTGCACAATATTACTTCAGCACCATTACACCAAATGTCACTAGATAAGCAAAGCAACTGAAGCTCACCGTCTGCCACCGCAAATCAGTCTTTACTGCAGGACACGGTTTGAACTGCTGTTTTCTCTGTACTCATGGGAAATACAATACACAGCATTGCACATTGTGTTACACGTGTTCCATGATTACAAGTGTTAATGTAAAAAAGTACATACAAATTTTACAAAAACAGTGTGTACGATGTAGATGATGAAAACTTGTACTGCCCATGATAGCTTGACCCCCTCCTGGTTTGAAAAAAGAAAAAAAAAACTATACATAATTGTGCAGGCATGCATACAATTTTAGCCCTCAAAGTGTGCCTAAAGACCTGAGAAATCAGTGATGTGCAACACTGAATATTTCCTGGTAGAGTTGAAAGCACTCTCAGTTCAGTTAGCTCTGATGAAGAAGGGATGCCCTTCGAAACGCGTCAGCTGTACTGAGTATCCACCCCCATGATGGGATCCGCGCTGGCTCTTTATCTTTCAGGTCCCTCTGAGGACTTACATGCCTGATTTTATTGGCGGTTTGTGAGTATTATCTTATAATTAATAAACTTTGGTTACTGAGGTAATGCGCTAGGTTGGTGCGCTTCTCGTTTTTGTTTTGATTTGCAGAGTTAAAAGTGAACCTGTGATTTTCCATACAGGGTAAAGTTCCAGACTCACTAGAAGCATACCTAGAAGCACTGAGATATTAATTTGCCTCCCTATGCATTACGGAATGCCGAAGGTGTGAGGGAAAGTTACGTATATGCTGGGGGGGGGGGGGGGGGGGGGGGGTAAGGCAAATTTGCCACTTTGCCCTGAATTGACAAAGCACAGACTTGCTTTAAAGTAAACCTGCCACCTTTTGTGTGTTTATCTCTCGGCGAGAACCCCGTAATAGTTATAGGCAAGTTGACCAGCAAACCAGAGTGCTGAATGTTTCAGAGGTCCATCAGTGGACATGAAGAAAGCTGAAAAAACCTGTAATTGTACCAAAGTATTTACATTCTTTTCTGTCGACAAGTGTACAGTTTAAAGCTGTCCTTCACACAAATGTAAAGAGAATGAGAATATATCCACCAGTGCTAATTGGTGCCCTAGAGACTGTTCTGAGATTTTCAGGAGGTACCCTGAATTAATACTTCTGTAATAAGGGATAGATTGTCTAGTGAGCGCTACCTAGAAATAAATAATAGTATAACAGGAAAGCGGCTAGAACACCAAAAAAGGTAACCAATACAGAATACTTCTGTAATAAATTGATACTATTGCCACACAAACGCCTTTTTTAAGCAGATAAAAATGTTCAACCATGGATGTTACCTTTCCCATTAGCTCATAAACTATCCACATATCACAGAATCCTGTATAAAAGCACATTAGTCATTTATCACATAAACCAACATCTCACATGGCCATCTTTAAGTGGGGTACTAAAGGCCCAGTCAAACTGATTTGTGCTGTGATACACATTGCATTCAGGAAGACCATTGATTCTGAATATGTTCTAACAAAATTCAAAGCAAGGCATGCCTGCACTATTTTTTACCAGCATAGCATGCCATAATGCAGAATGTGCATTATAGTGCACTGAAGGGCAGGTGCAAGCCAATGCAACACACTTATACCACACAATATGGAGCACATGCATTGATGCATGAACAATGAGACAAATCCAGCCTAAATGAAAAGAAGTGCCTCAAGACTACTTTTTAATAACCAATTAAATCCGGCCATAGCAGGGGCAGACTGACAACTCATGGGGCCCCCAGGCAATAGGGGATCATGGAGCCCCTGTGTCCTTGCCCAAACTCAAAAAAGCCTATGAAAAAGGTACCAGGGGCATCTCATGGGGCCCCCTACTGACCCCGGGCCCTCAGGCAGTGCCTGAGTTTTCAAATGGTCAATCCACCCCTGGGCCATAGAGGATTTTAATCCTGGCCTGTTCAGCAGGGACCGGACAAGAGTCAAACCATCTATGGGCAAGCTGACTGTACCCAAGATGACTGTTGTACAGAATGGGATTTTTACATGTGGATTATTGCCAGCAGCGATAACCGCTAGCAATAATCACCATTTTCTCCGGGCAGGGACAGCTCTCCCACCAGGAGAACACAAGAGCTCTGCGGGAGGGATTCCCCCATCAACACTGACTTTGGTTGCAGGAAAGAAAATCACATTATCTATGGCCGGCATAACTTTGCTAAGCCACATGAAATACAGTGAAGAATACTAAAAATTTGACAATAAAATATCACCAACATGTTGAAAACTCTTAAAGACGTTTGAGGAACCTTGTCCCTTCATACCTCATATTGAATCATTAAATATAGGACTTTGTCATTTTGGTATAGCAGCAGATATTATCCCATCAAAAGTATGGTATACTAACCTGCAAGCAATTCCTGAATTTGTGAACATTATATTGTCCTGTCTATTTGGAGCTCAGACATATCAATTTACAACACATTACTTTAGAGACTGAGATGAGTTTCTCTATGACATTAATCTGGACATTATAAGGGATCAATTGAGGGAGATTTAATGGAGCACAAAGGCAGAAACACACCTTTCTAAAGTCACACCTTAAGACAAGCTTTGATTTCATGGTCTTCTAAATAGTTATAGTCAAGCTTTCACATGTTCACTAGCATCATTTTATTTTAAACTTCTGAGCATTAAAGAAATCACAAGAGCAATAAAAAACACATCATAGCTGAACTGCAAAATCAACTCAATGAGTAATCGAGCAACGAATTGTAGCAACCATAATAAACAACGAAAGTCAAGGTAGATGAGGATTAATTAGCTCCATTTGGCTTTACACATGCATGAGTTTTGCCACCTACTGAGGAGACAGCTTTTAAAACAAAACGAAAAAAAAAGTGTCAAAGTGAAGAATAATATGGCTTGTTATTGGGTAAAATGCTGGGATGCATTTAGAACACCTGATTTAGCCAGGAGTATTTGTGCCTTTACTCCAAACTGGTGCACCTGTATCGTGCTCAATGGCAGAATATACCCTGTAAATTCACATTGATTTTTTGGGCTCCAAGAAAAAAAATCTATAAGCAATCCATGCAAACCAGGAAAACAAATAAAGATGAAGAAGTGGAAGCAAACAAATACATTCTTCCCTCTGTTCAGACAGACACTATCCAGATAGACCTTGACAAACAAGAAGGTCATGCAGATATTCCATTTTCTCCAGTAGGTCGCTTTGTATCCTTTTCTGCAGTTCTGAAGGTAAAACATTTAAAAAGGGGGTTTCCAATTTATAGCCAAATGAGCAGGTGCATGTTTTTCAGGGACACATCATTTTGACATAATCCTCCTAAAACAAATTCTAATCAAAAGCAAAGCAAAACTGGTTCCACAGTACAGCCATTCACATATAATGGCACTCTACGCTGCTACTAAATCTTAAAGCCAACTACTGACTTTTTTAAAGCAGTTCTTGAATTATTGAACTTCAGTCCCTTTTTTATATACAGGATAGTATATAAAATCTCTCAGATTATGCTCTCCTTCCCTAATCTATTAAAAAAAAAAAAAAAGAACTTGCCTCGAGTTGGAAATGTGAACCTTGACCAGGTGGTTTACATTCATTTGTTGTACTGGATGTGTAGAACTAGACAGCAATTAGACTTTAACCACTTGCCTACCAGGCACTTATACCCCCTTCTTTACCAGGCCAATTTTCAGCTTTCAGCGCTGTTGCACTTTGACAATTGCGCGGTCATGCAAGATTGTACCCATATGAAATTTTTATCATTTTTTTCTAACAAATAGAGCTTTCTTTTGGTGGTATTTAATCACTGCTGGGCGCTTTACTTTTTGCGCTATAAAGAAAAAAATTGCAAAAAATTTGAAAAAAAGTTTTTTTCTTTGTTTCTATTAGAAAATTTTTCAAACAGGTAATTTTTCTCCTTCACTGATGTGCGTTGATGAGGCAGCACTGATAGGCAGCACTGAAGGGCACTGATAGGCAGCACTAATGAGGTGGCACGGATAGGCTGCACTGATAGGCGGCATTGATGATGGGTACTGAGACAGCACTGATAGGTGGCACTGACTGGCATCGCTGCTAGGCACTGACTGGCGGCACAACCGCTGGTGCCGCCATTCAGTGCCCAGCGGTTGTGCCGCCATTCAGTGCCAACCGCTGGGCACTGACTGGTGGCACTGATTTGCAGCAATGCATTGATGGGCACTGGTGGACACAGGTGGGTGGCACAGGTAGGTGGCACTGCTGGGCACAGGTGGGCGGAACTGGTGGGTGGCACTGCTGGGCACCGATCATCAGGGCACTGATAATCAGTGCCCTGATGATCGGTGCCGATCCCTGCTCTGACAACTGCCGGTTCTCGGCAGTACTTTCCTCGCGCTCTGACAGCGTGAGGAAAGTGCAGCTGAGAACCGGCAATTGCATTTCCCGGTGATCAGCGTGTCATTCGACACTGCTGATCACATGGTAAAAGGCCGCTGTGATTGGCCTTTTACCCCATCACATAATCAGCTGTGTCCTTAGGACACAGCGATAATGGAGATCACCGGGTGTGCGCCCCCAGGTGCGTTCTGATATGACACCCTCCCAGAACTGGCCGGCCACAGTGTAGCCATCATTCGACTATCTGCGGTTGGCAAGTAGTTAATGCAGGGTTTCTCAACCTAGGGTTTATTTAGAAGTTGAGCAATTTCTGCCTTTCAGATAGGTTCCCACTGACACCATTGATCTTTTTAGCTATTGGTAAGGGGTTAATTCTTCCCAAAGACCACAAGTGTAAGGTGCATTCTTCCCACTGACCATCACACATTTGTATCATTAGTTATATAGTCATTTTTAGAAGGGGTTCCCTGGGACCACAAAAGTAATTTCAAGGGTTCCTCTGTGATGAAAAGGTTGAGAAAGGCTGCTTTAGAGAGACAGCGAATCAAGGAACACAGAAACAAAGTGCTCTTCTTAGCAACGGGTTGATTTTCAATATTAGCTAATGACAAGTTATACATATATGTGAGGAATTTAAGAGAGTTAACTACAAGTCCCAAGGCTCCTTCAAACTGTCAACCAAACAGAAACCCAGTCAAAATGTTTACAGTATATGTCGAGGCAAAAAACATTGCTTCAATACATGCACATTTCCCCATGGCTAATCCCTTTAAAAAAGAAATCCCAGAAAATAGCTGATTATCTGCCAGAAATGCTCTCGGCTCTTAACCCCTGTGGTGGGCTGAGCTGAAAACACACAGCATTTTTGTGGTTTGAGTGGTGTCAGCTCTGCCCAGTTTTTTTATTTTGTTTTTTTTGCTGCTACTACTACTACTCAACCACTCTCTCTCAGACCTTAGCTTAATTAAAAGATAATCCTTTGGTAGTTCAAGAGGACTAGGAGAGCTAAAACAGGCTCTTTGAGATGACACGGGATTTCTGACACAATCAACAGTTTTCATTTTTTTTTACAGTGCTTTTTCATAATTACAAGTACTTCTATAGTGCCATCAATTTACAGTGCTTTACATATATATTGTACATTGACATCAGTCCCTGCCCTACAATCCAAGGTCCCCAACTCACATTCATACATACACATGCTAGGACCAATTTAGACAGGATCCAATTAACCTACCAACATGTCTTTGGGAGTATGGGAGGAAACTGGAGTACCCGGAGGACATTCGAACCGACAAGCCTAGTGCTGCTAGGTGGAAGTGCTAACCACTTAGCCTCTGTGATGCCCATATTTCAAGGATATATTGAACAGACCAAAAATGGAAGCTAATAAGAGAAGTTCATTGTAAAGCTGGCCAAAGATAGGCATTTTTTTTTCCATGCAGCCAGTGGGATTCCTCCATCGCACACAAGCAATCTGGATGGAGGAATACCTTGGCTGGGACATTGCATTCTGATAGTGGCTCCTGCTTCTGTCAGAATAAATTGGCTGTAGCCGCTGATTGATAAGTTTTCCAAGTTGATTATTTCATTGACTGATGAAACAATTGACTTCTTTCAAATAGGGATGGCCACAAACTGATCAAAAGATTTGTATATGGCCAGCTATATTTACATAAATCAAGTCAGAGTGGGGTAGGGGGTTAGAAACTCTGCCACATTTTTATTTCTTTTACATTGCCAGGGCTTTGATTTGTCCAACACCCCGGGCACATCGGGTGTGACTTGGCATGCAATTTGCATTTGCATGCCATGCAAATCGTATGCCAAGTTGCAACCTATTGTCCTCTGTTAGAGCGGTCATATCGGTGAGGTTCTGACTTGGTCAGAGCTGCACCAATATCTAAAGTAGTACATGCACTGCTTTTGTTCTGATCTGCATAGACATCTGTGTCAGATGTCTTGCAAATCACAACTGAAATGGGCAGATCACCCAATTTTAAAATCGCGCGACTTCAGTGTAAGTTGCGCGATTTCAAAATCGGCTTTAATGTGACCGGGGGGTAACTATCAATATGACCCCAAAAAAAAAAAAGGAGGACTAAAAGGTTTTTGTGCAACCATTAAAATATGTGCAAATTTGAGAGATGTTAGTCATGGATTAAACACAGTATCACTCTACACCTTTTTCCAGCACTAGTTAACTATGTGCATCGCTTTCACCAATAGCAAGAAGGAAGTTATCCAACAATTAGAATATGGAGAGCTCTCATCTCCATATTCTACCTCTTTTCATGCAGACCCTAGGCTAATGTTTGAAAGCCAAATTCGGACATAAGTGACTAATCTGGCTGCAGGTGGAATTTAAAGATTGGCACACACTGCAAGTCGCTATACACTTAAAAGTAATTTACTCTGCAGGTTTTACTTTTAGTCTTATGTTCTCAGCAGGTCTAATCAGCTCATTCTGGCTGCATTTTCCTTTCATAGACAAAATGCAAGCAAGCACAGGAAAGAAAAACTCTACACAAACACAAAGGTATCATCTACAATGACACGTCATGCTGTTCAGGTAGTGTGGTTCATTACCAGATGTAGACACACTTCACATGGATTGAACTTATTAAAACAGAAGACTAAAAAAAAAAAAAAAACATATGCACCCTGAAACAATTTGCAAAAAGGTGAATGACAGGCTTTAAACATGCAATTATACGTTATTAATTCAATAATACGTTTGGCAAAAAAAAAGGCATTTTAATAAAGCAGCTTCAATAATGTTTGCATTCATTGTATGCAGATCTGTTTCAATCCCTTCACTAGAGTAGGGCTGGTCATACAGCTTACCGTATATCAGGGTTTCTCAACTAGGGTTCCTGTAGAACAGGAGCTTTAGTCAGTTAATCATTCTTCCAGCAGAGGTCCGAATCGTTTGTACAATCCTTCGCATCATAGCCCCCTACTCCTCTTAGGCTAGATTCTCTGTTGCTGGGGAACATGCGCAAAATCACATGCATTCTCGGCCCATAGCAAATGGCACCCCCATGAATCGGCACCTACAACAGATTTTCAAGTGTTTCAAACCACATGGTTCTGCAGCATCATGCGACTTGGTGTGGTGTAATTTAAAAAAAAAAAGGGTTTGTAAGTATTTTCTTGCATGGAGGAAATTAAATTGAATGGGCTGCACAGATCTGAACCAAGCCTCATATCACAACATCACAATCCTGCTCTTATAACAGCATTCTCAGTCCTCTCCTTCCCATTAAAATACCCCCTTCACATTTCTGTCCTCGGCTCTCCCCCCCCATTACTGTCCTCGGCTTCCCCCCCCATTACGGTCCTCTGCTTCCCCCCCCATTACGATCCTCTGCTCCTCGGTCCTCTCTTTCCCCCCCCCCCATTACGGTCCTCGGCTTTCCCCCCCCATTACGGTCCTCGGCTTCCCCCCCCCCCATTACGGTCCTCGGCTTCCCCCCCCCCATTACGGTCCTCGGCTTCCCCCCCCCATTACGGTCCTCAGCTTCCCCCCCCCCATTACGGTCCTCAGCTTCCCCCCCCATTACGGTCCTCAGCTTCCCCCCCCCCCCCCCATTACGGTCCTCAGCTTCCCCCCCCCCATTACGGTCCTCAGCTTCCCCCCCCATTACGGTCCTCAGCTTCCCCCCCCCATTTACGGTCCTCAGCTTCCCCCCCCATTACGGTCCTCAGCTTCCCCCCCCCATTACGGTCCTCAGCTTCCCCCCCCATTACGGTCCTCAGCTTCCCCCCCATTACGGTCCTCAGCTTCCCCCCCCCCCATTACGGTCCTCAGCTTCCCCCCCCCATTACGGTCCTCAGCTTCCCCCCCATTACGGTCCTCAGCTTTCCCCCCCCCATTACGGTCCTCAGCTTTCCCCCCCCCCCATTACGGTCCTCAGCTTTCCCCCCCCCCCCCCATTACGGTCCTCAGCTCACTTTATATCACCCCCTCCCCTTTCCTGCCCTTCCATACAGAGTCGACAGAGGGAGGCACAGCAGGTCTGGGCCGGGGGCAGGAGCTGCAAGCTAAGGATCAGTTGATAGGACTGCCATGCATCCTAGTAACCAATCGCCTGCTTATTAACTCAGGCAGCCCCCACCCTTTGCCCAGAGCTGTCCTGCCTCCTGCTGTTGGCTCTGTGACAATGACAGTGGCAGGAGTGACAGTTGGGGCAAATCGGCTCCTACATGACTGGAGCACGGCAGTCCGGATGGGGCGGTGACACGGTCCACCATTTAGTGATACCTGTTCTAGGAGGTTGCTAGGGTTCCTTGAGCAATCAGCAATTTCTGCCTCTCAGCTTAGTTCCCACCAGCAACATTGATCCTTTTTAGCCATCTGTAAGGGAGTAATTCTTCCTAATGACCATCACACTAAGGTATCATGAATTGTAGGCATAGTCATTTTTAGTAGGGGTTCCCTGAGACTGAAAAGTTAGTTCAAGTGTTCTTCTGTGTTGAAATGATTGAGAAAAGTCCATATACTACGTTAGATGCAAGGTGCACCCTGGGCCATCCACACACCTGTAGTCACTTTATGGTAAGATCCGTTTCTACATTAGTGCCACATGGGTTAAAGTGTGGTTTAAGGTATAGAACCTTTTGAGGGTTTACCGCTATTTGTCAGCCACATTAAATATTTTTTTCATGGGATTCTGTTTTATTCAAACATGTTTTAAAAGTTTGGCGATTTTACATAGCCTTGTCAAATCATTGGTCGGTAACATCTTACCCTAGGTTCACATCCCAGCATTTTTCAGAAACAGTACAGTCCATTTAACAGGATTTCCTATGGGACATGTTCACATCTCCGTGTTTTCGAAAGGGTCAGGGACTTTTTTTTTTTTTAAACACAAAAATTTGCGTTTTTGGTTCTATAGACTTCAATGGAAACACTGCAGAAAAGCATTTATTGCGTTTTTGCTGCGTTTTGCATCTGCCTAGCAACAAGAAAAAAAAAAAACACGCAAAAAAGCGAAAAG